GGAGAGGAGAGAGGAGGAGGGAGAGGAGGAGGAGGAGGGAGAGGAGGGGGAGGAGGAGGGGGAGGAGGGCCCCAAGAGTGAAGAAGACTCATTTCACGACTTTGCAGGGAGCCCACCCCCCACCACCCATGCTACGTCTCCGCCCTTCCTCTGCTCTGTCTGGGGCCACCTCTCTCTCCCTGCTGCAGAGCCCAGGGGCTGTGCTGATAGAAACCAGATGCCGAAGTGCGGCTGGCTTGTTCCTGGCTGATGCAGGAGACACACCGGGGCTGTGTGCTGGGCTGACCCTCTGGGGTCCGGGTCCCTGCCACATACACACAAGCCTTATTACACTTTCTGCTCAGCAATCTTAGAGGCTGGCTTTTGAGTCTGATGTGCCACTCCTCTCTGGGACTCAGTTTCCCTACTCTAAAATGAAGACTTTCTATTAACATCGGTGACTTTTAGCCTGTCCCCAAGCAGCCCCTGCAGGAGTGGTGGGTGTCGAGGGGAACGGAGGGGTCAGGTGGCAGGTGGCAGTGCCTGGGCTGGGTGACCTCAGCTGAGTCAGGCTTCCCACCCAGCAAGCATGTAGCTCAGTTTTCTTCAGCCAGGAGCCCCGTACACCAAAAGATGGACAGGGACACCATGGTCCACTGCCCCCAGTCCTGGTGCCCTCCTACGCCAAGTCCACTTAAGCCCTGCAGTGGCAGTGGGGAGCCCTCTGAAGGCTTCACTCTGCAATCCCAGGAGGTTTCCCATGGAAGGCCCAGGCCCAAGCTTCCCGGTGTGTTTCCAAGGCGTGCCCAGCAGTGGGACCACACGGCCCTGCTCACGGCCTTGCACTGAGCCTCCATGTGCTGGGACCCTGAGGTGCCAGCACAGTCAGGCACAGCCACATCACCCGCCTGTCCCCTGTGCCCTTTGGCATCCGAGGCTCTGGTGCAGGTGACTGCAAGCAGCCCCAGCGTGGGGACCACCACATCACTGCACTTTCCTGTGCTAGGAGGGAGGGGTCGGGAGTCGTTTTCAAAGCCAAAGCCTGTGCCGATCAGGGGACTCACTCATAACTTTACCAACAGTGACTGGCACTGCCTTCAGCCCTGCTTTGTGTCCAGCCCACGACATGGCAGCCATGCAGGCCCCAGCTCACCAGGCCAGCCGCGGTCCCAGAAGGAGCAGCTCACAAGGCACGTGGCAAAGCCCCCTGCAAGGACGGGCCTCGGTGTCTCGTGGCTTTTTTTGGGTTTTGTTGGAGGGGAAGTTCGGGATGGGCTCTGTCTCTTTTCCTCTTGTGTGTGTGTCATGTGCTGTTCTGTACTGCAGGTGACTGATCAGAGCCATCTGCTCACCTGGCCTGTGTTTCAGGGATTCAGTCTAAATGCTTCCCCACAACCGGACTCAGTGCTGAAAAACTTCTTCAGGCCTTACCAGGGTAGGCATGACAGTTTTTGCCTCACTGTTGAAATTTTATCCATTTTAAGGATTTTTTCAACATTTACATCAGGTGTGGAAACTTTTCAAAACATGACAGACACTTATCAACAACAATGAAAAGTAGTCAACTCCACCCCTCTGGTTGTGTTAATTTGAGACCATATTTAGTCAAACCCAACCAACTCCTGTGTCTACACTTGTTTCTAACTCTCTTGTGTTATGTGTGCACATTGATTTTATCTTTCATTTTAAAAAATATATGGCACAAAAACTTTTTTTCCCTTTTCCTTAAAGAGTCGTGGGAAAAAAATAATTTATCACAAATAATTTTAAGGATAGAATTTTCAATAAAAAGACGGTTTATCTTGAATTTGTTATTAAAGAGAAACCTGAATAACTAGCCACTTAAATGTATATATTTAAATCTTCAAGAAAAAACATTAAAATGTGTCTTATGTGCTGGGAAAATTTCCGTACTATGCTAAGCAATCAAAAGAGGGGGGAAAAGGTGGAGATAAAATGATTCTCATGCCAAAGTCCTCCCAAATGGATCATAGAATCCAAATGTTTTCATTAACTGCTTAGTAATTTATTGCAAAAAAGGTAATTCGGTGTTGAACACAGAATTCCTTATACACTAAAAGAAATAATTTGTGTAAAGAATACATAATAAAATTATATACGTATATGCACATGTAAATGTACATCTATGTCTTCATTCTTTTCAATACAGAACATTTTTAAAAATTTACACAAGTGGAGAGAATAAAACAATAAGCCTGTCACCCAGACTCAGCGTTTTTCAGTATTTCGCCAATCTTGTTTCTACCATTCCCCTGCCCCCTTTTCTCTAAAGCACTTTGGACCCTCAGCACCTTGTCACTTGGCCTGCGAACACTTAGCCGGCATCTTAATTGAGAAGGACTTTCCCATGTGACCCACTGTGCATACCTTGGTCACTCACTCCTAACTAACTTAAGAATTCCTTTCATAGTGTCAAATACAAGTTCACATTCCCATGTCCATTGTTTATAAAGACCCAGCAGCAGCGGGTGTGGACAAAGAAGCCCCACATCCACGTGTGCGTGGGGGCTGCCATATGGGCACACTAGACTCCTCCCCTGGTCTGTGCTGATTGGCTCAGAGGTGGGCACGTGTTCCAAGCCAGGCCAATCAGAGCCCTTCTGTGCAGGTACTTCTGGTCGCCCCTGTAAGTCACCTTGCCTTCTCCACTCTGCCCTCTGCCTGGCACTATGGCCTGTTTGGGGACATCAACCTGCCCCAGGCCTGGCTTCCCTTGCCACTGCCTCCAGCTTCCCTTGGGTATGGCCAGTGGGGAATTCCAGCAGGAAAACAGATGGGGAGAGAGTCCTGCCAGGTCAGGGTACTTATTCCCTGGTTCCATGCCTGCTGGCTGGGTCCCCCACTGAGGGTCCCTGCACCCCTTAGACAGCCTCTCCATGTGGCCCTTTGCCCTCGTGCCTTCAGGCTGGGGAGCTAATGGCAACACTGTTACCAGCCTTGGGACGTTGCACTATTGTGTGGTTCCCTTGCCTCCTGCCCATACCTTTCCTCTCCATGTGGCCCTTTGCCCTCGTGCCTTCAGGCTGGGGAGCTAATGGCAACGCTGTTACCAGCCTTGGGACGTTGCACTATTGTGTGGTTCCCTTGCCTCCTGCCCATACCTTTGTAAACAGTCTCTTTCTTAAACCCTCCTAGAATTATTCTAATTCAACTGTGCCATGTGATTTCTGCCTGGACCCTGACCTCCACTGGAATTGCTAAATGGAGCTGAGATAGAGAAGTCAGCTGTGCACAGGTGGCAGAGCTCAGGGCATGTCTGCTGTGTGGCGTAGGCGGGCTGCGGGTGAGGCAGATGAAGGACATAAAAGTTGGGAGGAGAAGGGCACAGGGAGCTGCCCGCTGCCTCCCCTGGGTCCATTGCTTCCTGGCCTACATCCCAGGAGCCCCTGCTTACACTCACTTTCTGCTTAAACCATCCCAGGTCATTCTGTTAGGTGCAACCAAAAGTCCTAATTGATAGATCACCATATAAGTACAACATAAAATCCTCTAATTGCTTCAAACTACTTGGGTATGTTTTAAAAACAAAAACAGAAGAATTTTCCTTTCCTTCTAGCCATTAACTTTTCCACTAATCTATCACCCAATAAGATGTTGGTCACAGGTACTGTTAGAGAGTCGTGGTCATTAGCAGAATTTAGCGGGGGTAGCTCAGGCCGTGGGCCTCGGCCCCTGGAGAAGTGACGTTCTATGAAAGAATCCAGGCATGCTCAGAGTTCACGGGGAGAAAAACCGATGATCACACAGTGGGAGGAAAGCCATGTATCTGCGCGGGGCTGTTTTTAGCAGAATTTCTAGGGACCAGCTGCCTCCTCCGTCCCATCCTTCCATCCTCCTGACATATGCCCTGGGCCACGAGGCCCTGCTGATGTCTGCACTGGCCCAGCTTTGTCTGGAGGGCCTTGCTGCTTGGTGCTGAAGCCCACAGGAGGTGCTGGGAATGAGAGAATCTCATTTCTGTGGTTGGTTTTGACCTGAAATGTCTGTGTTATAACCTGTAGTACTCAGCCTGGACTGTGAATAACTTTAAAACAAATACAAAATATGGTGCATGTGGTTTTGTGGTGGCCAAACTTTTTTCTTTCAGGTACACAGGGACCATTGGGAATGTTAGATAATAACCGAAGTTATGTTTCATGTGAAGATGGGACTGAGAAATGTCCGAGTCCAGCATTTCCAGCACTGATGTTTCCCACACTAAGGGTGCTGTTTTGATCAGTGTCTTCATGGGAGGGCAGACTGTGCTGCTACGTGTTGTGTTGGGTCAGGATATCTTAAAAGACGTTATGAGTACAGTATTTGTTTTATAAGCAGCAAACGTGTTCTCCTGCTTTCTTCCAA